TGTCTTGCCAGGGAAAACTCTGACTCTTTCAAGCAGGCCATCCAGACTATGGAGCTTTTGACTGTTATTTATGGAAACACTGTTGCAGCTTGCTTCCTGGCAAGGACCTTAAAATGTCATAGAGTTTTGTCAAAAAAATCTTGGCTACAACCAGTACCTCCACCATGAGGGTGGAATTTCATAAAGCTAAGGAATGGGCTGGATCTAGTAGTCAAAGCCATGGCTTTAATCTTTTCCATATTCCTTAGCAAAGTAAAGACCCACATGGTCAGAAAAAGAGAGATATACAATAAAGAGAGATTCAAAGAGGAAGAAAACCTCTAAATGGTTTACAGTGTGTTAAAAATATATACATGCTAAAGGTTAAAGTTCTCAAAGTTAAAAAAAGAAAAAAGAAAGAATGAGAGTAGCTGTTTGTGGTGGCACATGCTGGTAGGATTTGCCTGGAAGTCAGAGACAGAGGGATCTCTGTGAGTTCAAGGGCAGCCTGGTCTACACAGTTATTCCAGGATAAAGATATACAGAGAACCTGTTTTAAAAAGTAAAAGTAAAAATAAAAGAAATAGAGGTTAAAATAAAGCTGCATAAAGATGGAAAATACACAGAGAATCTTGATACTGTATGTTATTATGCTCTCTTTAAATTGTTTGAATGTTGAGGAAGAAGAAACAGCTGATAAAAGATATTTGCTTATAAATGCTGCAGAATTAATCTAAGATAGGTATTTTGAAAATACCTTGACTTCAAAATTGAAGTCAAAAGATATGTTACTTTGGAGAAGAGATTTTGCTTTTGTTTCCACAGAAAACGAGAGGCACTGGATTTATTCAGAGTTAAGAAAAATCAGCTTTGATCAAGGAAAACCACCTGAGAAATCTCCAGCAGGAATAGATGGCCCACATGTCTGAGTTCTTCATCCAGAACAGGTTCAAGACTTCTGCCTGAGATGATCAAGACTCACAGGATCCTTCAGTCAGGAGTTTATAATAACTCTAAATTTTCTTTTGGTCCCCATAAGATTATCAGCTTCCCCAACCTGCTGGAAGTAACATGGAATACTACACCTACATTCCCAAAAAAATGGACTATGGATATTTTCCTTTTTTTTAAAGAGGGGGAGGTGGTGTGGGAGAATTGTTTGTGTTCTGTCAATCATGTTTTAAATAAATGCTGATTGGCCAGGTAGGAAATATAAATGGAAAAACCAGACAGGAAGTAGAAATGATGCAATGAGAACAGGAGAATTCTGGGAAGGAGAAAGTTGATTCCTCTCAGTCCTGCGCAAACCGCTGAGGAAGCAGGATGTGACCTGCCAGCTGAAAAAAGGTACCGAGCCATATGGCTGAAATAGATCAGAATAATGAATAATGGGTTAATATAAGTCATAAGAGCTAATATGAAGCCTGAGTTAATGGGCCAATCAGCTTATGACTTATGGAGACCTCTGTGTGATTTTCTCTGGGACTAAATAGCTAGGGGGCTGGGCGGGACAGAAACCCCAACATGCTGGCCCTTCATGTTACAAAGGTTTATTCTTTCCTGATTGGATGGAATGTTCTATAGATTTCTGTTAAGTCCATTTGATTCATTACATCTGTTAGTTTTCCTATTTCTCTCTTAAGTTTCTGTCTGGTTGACCTGTCCATTGGTGAGAGAGAAGTCTTAAAATCTCCTACTATTAGTGTGTGGGGTTTGATGTATGAGGTCACATAATGTTTCTTTTACGTATGTGGGTGCTTTTATGTTAGGGGCATAGATATTCAGGACTGAGACTTCAGCTTCATGAATTGTTCCTGTTATAAGTATAAAGTGTCCTTCTCTATCTCTTCTGATTGATTTTAGTTTGAAATCAATTTTGTTAGGTACTATTAGAGCCATACCTGCTTGTTTCTTTGGTTCATTTGATTAGAAAACATTTTCCCAACCCTTTACTCTGAGGTAGTGTTTGTCTTTGAGATTGAGGTGTGTTTCTTGTAAAGAGCAGAATGTTGGATCCTGTTTTTGTATCCAATCTCTTAACCTGTACCCTTTTATAGGTGAATTGATTCCATTGATATTAAGTGATATTAATGACCAGTGGTTGTTAACTCTGTTTTTTTTTGGTGGTAGTGTTTGTGTGTTTCCCTTCTTTGAGTTGTGCTGGTGGAAGGTTGTCAGATGTCTGTGTTATTATGGGTGTTGTTTGCTTCCTTGGGTTGTGGTTTTCCTTCTAGTATTTTCCATAAGGCTGGGTTTGTGGCTACATATTGTTTAAATCTGTTTTTGTCCTGGAATATCTTATTTTCTCCATTGATAGTGAAAGAAAGATTTGCTGGGTATAGTAGTCTGGGCTTGCATCCATGGTCTCTTAGTGTCTGCAGCACGTCCATCCAAGACCTTCTGGCTTTCATGGTTTCCAAGAGAAGTCAGGTGTAATTTTGATAGGTTTACTATTGTATGTTACTTGACCTTTTCCCTTGCAGCTCTTAATATTCTTTCTTTATTCTGTATATTTTGTATTTTGATTATTATATGGTGAGGGATTTTTTTTTGATCCAGTCTATTTGGTGTTCTGTAAAATTCTTGTACCTTCATAAGAATATCCTTCTTTAGGTTGGGAAAGTTTTCTTCTATAATTTGGTTGAATATTTTCTGGGCCTTTGAGCTGTAATTCTTCTCCTTCTTCTGCCCCTATAATTCTTATGTTTGGTCTTTTTTATGTTGTCCCAGATTTTTTGGATGTTTTGTGTTAAGAATTTCTTGGATTTGTTGTTTTCTTTGATCAATGAGTTTATTTCCTCTATAGTATCTTCAGTGTCTGAAATTCTTTCTTCTATCTTTTGTATTCTGTTGGTTATACTTGTCTCTGTAGTTCCTGTTTGTTTACCCAGATTTTTCTTATCCAGCCATCCCTCAGTTTGTGTTTTCTTTATTACCTCCATATCGGTCTTCAAGTCTTGAACTGTTTCAATTACCTGTTTGATTGCTTTGTCTTGGTTTTCTTGGGTATCTTTGAGGGATTTATTCATTTCTTCTAACTTTTTGTTTGTCTTCTCTTCCATGTCTTTAAGGGAGTTATTTTTACTTCCTGTTTAAGGGTCTCCATCATTTTAATATTGTTACATTTAAAGTCGATTTCTTCTACTTCTTCTGCATTACGGTATTCAAATCTTCCTGTTGTGTGTTTGCTGGATTCTGGTGTTATCATTTTCCTTTTCAGGTTGTTGGAGAAATTCTTGCATTGGTGCCTGCCCATCTCTTCCTTCAAATGCGGGCCAGAGATTCTTGGTGTCTTGGTCCAATCTTTGCTGTGGCTGACTGTGTACTTGGTGGTTTTTCTTGGTTTTCTCTCTCTTAGCCCCTCAGCACAGGAGCTGGCTCTCAGATCTCCTCAGCCCTGAAAAAGGCTGTGCTGGTGGATCTAAGGAACCCACAGATGAAAAGGCATGCTTGGGGGGCAAGATGGGATGGGGTAAATAAAGAAAACCAGTAGCCAGGGAGACGCCCAGCTGGATGGCCAGAAACATTATGGAATTGGAGGGGGCTTTACTCTGTTCCTGGGACTGTCAGTCTGGGTGCCCACACACTCACCACTCCAGCTGGATCTCCTCAGTACAGAAGTAGGACCTCTTGATGGGCCAAGGACCTCACAGACAAAAGGGCGGGCTTGGGTGGGCAGGGTGGTGTGGAACAAAGAAGCCCCTGTGGCAGGAGCACTCACAACTGGCTCCTCAGACCCTCAGCCTCGAAGCAGGCTGTGTTGGGGGATTCAAGGACCCTGCAGATGGAAAGGAACGCTTGGGGGCAAGATGGGATGGGGGTAAATAAAGAAAGCCAGGAGCCAGGGAGATGCCCCGCTGGATGGCCAGAAACATTTAGAGGATTGGAGGGGGCCTGTACTCCATTCCCAGGACTGTTAGGCCAGGTGGCCATGCTCTCACCACTCCCAATGGATCTCCTCAGTCTGGTCATGGTATTTGTACAGCAACAGAATGAAACTAGAGTGAGTGAACTTACCTTACATCTGAGAAAGAAAAGCCACTGTGAAGTTAACATGCCAGGCAAACAGGATGTGTGCCAGCCTCAGACACCAACTGCAAAGGGTTCTTTTATTACGATTCAATACAGAACACACAACAGACAGCTCCTCCAAGTATGAAATAGGCCACACATGGGGTAATGAAGTCAGGCTCAATACATTTTGAAGAAGGACTGTTTCTTTGCCTATGTGCATCTACCCTTTCATCAGAACTATAGCACAGGCTGGTCACTGCTTTAGAAGACTGGTGAACAGCACACTATTACAGGAGTTTAGAAACTGCTTTCTGATAAGAAGTGCAGACTGATGGAAGCCTGGACTGCACCCCCCATTGCTTTGGATCAACTCTCTGCTTTGCTACGCCCAGAAGCATGATAATTTCTTAGGGTTCTCTAAAGCCTGAGGGTCGGGCCTGACCAGCCTCACACCCCTTCAGGCCTGATATGAAGATGATAGCCAACTAAGGCATCCTTTGCCCTGCCCCAGACCCCTCAGCAGGCACCTCAAAGTCTCCAGTTATTTCTCCAAACGCTCAGTCACCTCGAAGTCTGGGACAGTGAACTGTACGACACAGAACACCTGATAATGAAACCACCTCCAAATGGGGGCAGTGACCCCATGAGAAATTTGAGCCTGTCTTCAATGAGAGCAGTCATTAATTGGAACCAGCTGTGGAATGACCTTCCAGAATCGGCTTGTAAATCAACCCCCCCTCCCCAAAGTGTTAAGGTTTCAACTGGGATTGTTTTAAATCTCTGGGTAGGTGAGTTGGAGAAGCCACACACTTCAGCAATGGTGAATCTTTACTACTGTTAGTAAGGAGCAGGCCATGATCTAACTACCACCTTTTGTTTTTCTTAGACACTTTACACGACAATGTAATAGATTCCCTTAAAATTCTATTGAAGTTGGGTGGTGGTGTTGGTGGCACACACCTTTAATTCCTTGAAGAAAATAAGTTTTTTTCTTCTCCTTCAGTCCCATATTCCTGCAGGTGGTCACATGCCAGGAGCAGACGTTGACGCTGCCCTTAGCCCAGTGCCAGGATTTCCAAAGGACTCAGAGATCAGACCCTCAGCTTCTGCTCTGCTGGATTCCTCTGCCTTCCGGAAGGAAGTTACTAGTCATCTTCCTGGGTTGGTCAAATGGAATAATCTCATTTCCCTCCTACTCCTAAGATGAGTAGCCAAACAGACCCAGTGGTTGGGGTCCCAGGGTCAGCCTCTGGCTGGCACAGGCAGGCAGGCTTGTGTCACAGCAAGCTTGACCAGTTAACAGATAAAGTCATGGTGAAACGCAAAGGGGGTTTATCATATTAAATGTGATCACATTAGGAAGAGGAACAAATCAATCCAGTGTCCCCCTGGCCCAGACTGTCTAAGAAGTTCTGGTTGTTGTGTGTCCCTGATGTGAGGGTAAGCAGCCCTGGCTGTAGTGTGGCTAGCTTATTATCCCCACTGAATCAGGACAAAGACAACCTGGGTGTCAAGGGTCTCCTGCTGTGGATCTGACAAGTCAGAATCATGTGAAATCCCTTCTTGGGAGACAAGCTCACTCCTGACTTAACCAGGCCTCACTCAGCTTTCTTCTTCCCCAGTGTGTGACTCCTGAGAAAATTCAGATTTCCTGGAGAACGTTTTAAAGGTCTAATAGCTGAAGAAAAGGACACAAGTATCTTTGGATCCTCCTGCCAGGATGGACAGAGCTGTAATGTTTGCTTATATTTCAGCTCCACCTGCTCCTTATTGGTGAGTGTGCGCCAAGTCACTCATTAGACCCGTGAATGCTTGCTGGGTTTTTTGCTAAGGAGACTATAACAGTAGCAACACGGACAGCTATATCTCTGTGTCTGGCTGTCCTTGACCTTACTGTCCTGACCATGAGACCACGACTTGACTATGGTGTTAAATAGGATTGATGAGAATAGAATTTCATAAAGTTATTCCTAGTCACACAGTCTTTTACCAGTGAATATACTGTTCACTATAGTTTTTTAGTTTCCATTAGCTCTTCACCAGCCTGGAGGAGGTATCTTCTATTCCTCCTGTTTTAATTGTTTTGATGTGTATGGGTGTTTTGCTCACATGTATGTGTATCACATGTGTACCTGGTACTCACAGAGGTCAGAAGAGCGTGTCAGATCACCTAGAACTGCAGTTATAGACAGACAGGTCTGAACTGCCATGTGGGTGTTGAAGACTGAACCTGAGTTCAGGGCCCAGCACCAGGACAGACAGCATGTGGGGGACAGCTGAAGAAAGGCATCAGGTCTATGTGGTGGGGGAAGTGGGGTCTGCTTTTACAGCTCTGGGAAGGGAGGGCTGCGCTGAAGTAGAAGGAGCCGCGGGCTGTGTTCCTACCACCTGGCTCATGGCTAGCTTTACCTGAAATAATTACATGGAAACTGTATTTATTTAAACACTGCTTGGCCCTTTAGTTTTAGCCTCTTATTGGCTAACTCTCTCATCTTGATTAATCCATTTTTAATAATCTGTGTAGCACCACGAGGTGATGGCTTATCGGGAGGATTCTAACCTGCGGCTGTCTCAGAGAGGAGAGTCATGGCGACTGCCTCACTTCCATTCTTTCCAGCATTCTGTTCTGTCTACTCCGCCCACCTATGTTCTGACCTATCAGGCCAAGCAGTTTCTTTATTAATTAGCCAATGAAAGCAACAGAAATACATAAGACTCTCCTACATCACTGCACAGCACAAACTGCAGCGGGCTCTCTGATTTCTGGGTAGGAGGCAGGGACACAGTGGGAAGCCAGAATGTGTGGCCGCCAGTACCCGCTTTGATGTCAACTCCCATGCCAAAGAGAGACTTCGCACCTGGAAATCATGGTGCTCACAGGGGACATGTTTAGCACGACACTGGTCAGGACTGGTCAGGGAGTGGGGACGGCTGCTGCAGGGACTGTGGCCTCAGCAGCACCCAGTCTGGACTCTAGCATTATAGTCCTACAAAAAGGTCTTTTGTTTTTTAAACAAATACTAAAATGTTTCCAGATTAAAGTTAGACACTGTCAGAAGTTTCACAAGTGCCATCTGTGGGGGTATTTTCAGAAGAGGGCATCTGAGTCGGTCCTATTCCAGTCCTGCAGGAAGGCCTCAGCCAGTCTGGTGAGGGTGAGAACAAGAGTTCTCAAGAGAACCCCACCTTCCAACCACCTCCACTGTGCAGAGGTTGGAATGTCACAGGTTGAGGGTCTGATGACACTTGGGCTCTTTTGCCTCCCTATGGCCACCTCTGTCTGAGCTAACACCCTGCCACTAACCTGGAGAGCCTTTGTGATGCATGTGTTGGCATGTTAATTAGCTTCTACCCACTGGAAAGCAAGGGGCAGAGTCTGAGACCCATAGCAGAGATTTCTCCCCACTTTAACCCTCTTGCCTAATGTTTCCACCAATATATTTTTAAAGTGCCTTAATTTATTTAGGCCTTTCTTTATTCTGTACTACATGTGCCTTAGGGTTTCTGTTGCTGTGATAAGACACTCAGCGAGGAAAGGGTGATTTCAGTTTACAAGTCTCAGGTCACAACACAGCATTTTAGAAAGTCAGGACAGGAGGCCCACAGACCATGGACGCTGCCTACTGGCTTGCTCTCCAGGGCTTGCTCAGGACAGCTCAGGACCATCCAGGACCACTTGCCTAGCAGTGGTACCAACCACAGTGGGTCCTCTCACATCAGTCATTAATCAAGAAAATGCTCCACATATTTGCCCACTGGCCAGTCTGGCAGGGGTATTTTCTCAGTTTGGGTTACCTCTTCCCCAAATGATCCTATCTTGTGTCAGGCTGATAAATATATATAAATCTAACCTGGACACCAACTTTGAACGCATTATCAATCCTCCTGCCCTAGTCTTCCAAATCCTGGGCTTATAGCATAAACCATTGACTAGTCCTGAAAGTCTTTGTACTAAAGCCACGGATCAGGTTTTACCAAAATGGCATGGTGAAATTCATAGAGATTCATCTGTTTCTGCTTCTCCAGTGCTGGGAGTGCTGGAACTAAGGGCATGTGACACCATGAGCCCCTGAGAAGTTCTGAAGTAGCCTTCCTGCCAATGTGACTGGACACTGTGGGAGAATTGTCTGTATTCTGTCAATCATATTTTAATAAAACGCTGATTGGCCAGGTAGGCAGTATAGGCGGGAAAACCAGACAGGAAGTAGAAGTGATGCAATGAGAACAAGAGAATTCTGGGAAGCAGGGAAGTTCCTCTGCCACTCCTGCGCAGACCACCGAAGAGGCAGCATGTAACTTGCCCAGCTGAGAAAGGTATGGAGCCATTATGGCTAACATAGATGAGACTAATGGGTTAATATAAGTTATAAGAGTTAACAAGAAGCCTGACCTAATGGGCCAATCAGTTTATAATCTTATGGAGTCCTGTGTGTGATTTTCTTTGGGCTTGCCAGTTGTGGGGTACTGGGCGGGACAGAAACCCCAACAAGCCAGCCCTCATGCTACAGGACACAGAATCCATGTGATGTCATACCCCTCAAGGATTTCAACTGAGAGTAAACAAGTAAAAGTAGAGACCACTGAGGTGACTAAGGAGGTGTAGGCGTTTGCATGTGCAAGGACCTGATTTCAGTTCCCAAACAAGGTGCCAGGAGAAAGCTGACTCCTAGAGTTCTTCTCTGATCTACACACACACACACACACACACACACACACACACTGTACCAAGCATGAGTCCATATTCACACCTTCATACTCTCACACAAATAGTAAGTAAACATTTAAATTGGAGTTTCAGGACATGCCAAACCCTACAGAGGGTGATGTCCAGGGTCTGGGCAAGCTGATATGTTACTCAGTTGTAGTAGATACAGAACCACGTCATTATGACTTGTCAAGAGAGAAATAACTATTACATTGCATTTAGAGTGTATTTTAATGCTTAAACATTTCTAAACTGTTTTTGTTTCCAGGCAAAAATTAGAATGTGAATTAATTGTTTTTATTTGAGACAAGGTCTGTGTAGCTCTAGTTGTCCTGGAACTAGCTTTGTAGCCCTGGCTGGCCTGGAACTTCCAGAGATCTGCCTGTCTCTGCCTCAAAAGTGCTGGAATCAAAGGCTTGTGCCACCAGGGCCTGGTTTTAAGATGTGATGAAGGGATAAACAGAATTGAAAGTACCAGCCCTCATGTGGAGTCCTCTTCTAATCCAAATAACACAGGCATGCATTTTGTGGATGCTGAGGTATTGCTACTATCGGGGTGGTGATGTTTTCACACAGCATTAGCTCAGGGTTAGCAGATAATAAATTCTGTTTTATATAGTGCAAGTAATTAGGTATTGGAATGTGTGTGCAAAGATATGGCAGTCAAATCAGTATTACTCTCAAAAAGACAACACTGGGTTTAGGGTAAATTCACATCCTTGTGGTATATGACATAACTATCAGCTAAGAACATTTTCTAATGCTGCATCAGTTTCTGACAAATGTGGTACCATGGGAAAACCACCTTTAATCCCAGCACTCAGGAAGCAGAGGCAGACAGATCTCTGAGTTCAAGGCCAGCCTGGTCTACAAAGCTAGTTCCAGGACAACCAGAGCTACACAGACCTTGTTTTAGAAAAACAAACAAAACAAAACCAAAAAATATGTGACACACAAATTGTTTGTGTGACAAGAATCTCCATGTTGTCAAATAACATCAGATAAAGAAGACAGAGAAAAAAAAGGAAAACAACCTAGATTTCCCATAGTTCAGACAAGTTATCTTTTTTTTTTTTTTTTTTGGTTTTTCGAGACAGGGTTTCTCTGTGGCTTTGGAGCCTGTCCTGGAACTAGCTCTGTAGACCAGGCTGGCTTCAAACTCACAGAGATCTGCCTGCCTCTGCCTCCCGAGTGCTAGAATTACCCAGCCAGACAAGTTATCTCGGAGTGAATACTGGAACTGAGGTACTCTGAAAAGGTCCCTTTCTGTGGAAGATCTTCAGGCTGCATAGCTGATTAGCACTCGGGTTATAGAGGCTGGAGTGCTGCAAACAGTGAGCCAGAGCTAGCCTGGTCTGTCTTTAGTCACCTGACTGCCTTGATTGCCCACGTCTGTGCAGTCAATGGGGAACTAACATCCCTTCTGCCAGGTAAAGCCTTTGGCAGGCCAGGCCAGGTAGCTCACATCTTTAATGACAACATTCTAGAGATAGAAGCAGGATGAGTTCAAGGCCAGCCTGGTCTACAAAGTAACTTCAAAGCCAGCCAAGGCTACATATTAAGATCCTATCCCCCAAAACAACAAGCAAACAACAACAACCCAAGAAGAGAGAGTCCTGACCTTTGGAATGCTGACCTTTGGAATGCCAGTCTTTGGAATGTATTTCTAGCAGGCCTCCCAGATGTTGCTGTAGTTGTAACATCCTGGCAGTGGCAGACCTGTCCCTCTTCTTTGTAGTTCACCTACTCCTGTCCCCATCAAGGTGCTCAGTGAGTGATCCATTTATAACGTTACTTTGTTCCGTAACTGCAGTAGTTCATGTGACCATTTCCACAAAGGAGCATGTCATTCAGGTTGACCTAAACCCAATTTTCCCAGCTGACGTCACTCATCTCTGGCTCAGAATAAAGGCCCTTTTACTAACTTTGGAGTCACAGCTGTGTTTTGCCATCAGGATTTGTTGCAAGAGGCGTAGAAAAATATCTTATGAGAAAAGAATCATACATAATTAGGTGGATACAATAAAATATGCTTATATTGTTTTCTAGTGCTTTATATTCAAATGGATTTTAAAAAATAAAATGTAGGTCTACTTCAAGTAAAGTTTTTAAAAAGGCTAACTTTAAAGATTTTACTTTAGATTATGTATATAAAGGGCCCCATGTGCATGAGTTTTCACATGACAATGTCCACAGAAGCCACAAGGAGTTGGAGTTAAGTTGTCCTGAGCCCTGATAGGAATACTGGGAACCAAACTGGGCCCTCTGCAAGAGCAGTAGATGCTCTTAACTGCTGAGCCATCTCTCTGGTCCCAGACAGGGATAACTTGAAAAGACAGGAATTTAATCTTTTGTGTTTCCTGTTAATTTTGTCATCCTTTAAACAGAACTAGATCTTACTTACTTTATTTAGAAAAATACAGATCAGGCATTAACAAGAACATGCCTGCCAGCATCATTTACAGTTCCATTTAGGCTCACATCTTGTGCTCGCTACTTTTATGTCTTGACACAGGCTAGAGTCATCTGAGAGAGGGAACCTCAATTAAGAAAATGCTTCCACAAAATCAAGCTGTAGGAATTTTCTTATTAGTGATTGATGGAAGAGGGCCCAGCCCATTGTGGGTGGTGCCATCTATGGGCTATTGATCCTGGGTTCTATAAGAAAGCAGGCTGAACAATAAACAAGTCATTAAAAAGGCAGCACCCTCCACAGTCTCTGCATCAGTTTCTGCTTGTAAGTTTCTGCTCAGAGTTCCCCACCTGGCTCCCTTCCATGATGGACCATGGCAGTAAAATAAGCCTTTCCCCCATAACCTTTGCTCATGTTTCATTACAGCAACTGAAACCCTAACTAAGACACATCTTTTTTTTTTCCCTGAGACAAGATTTCTCTTTGTAGCCAGAGCTGGTCTAGAACTCACAAAGAACCACCCGACCCCGCTTCCTGACTGCTGGGATTAAAGGTATGCCCCACTACCACCTAGCATGCAACATATCTTTGTAACCATCATTTTATGCCTCTGGTTAAAGGGGGACATCTTGTACATGGAATACACTTATGTACCACTCGCTTAGGTCATTAATGCTATTTTTAAATAATATATTTAGTTTTGACACAGGATCTTACTTTGTATCTTGGATGGCCTAGAACCTTTCATATAGAGCAGGCTGTTCTCAGACTCCTTGTGGTAGTCTTCTGCCTCTGCCTCCTGAGTGGTGTGATTACAGACATGCACTGCTATGCCTAGGTTCAAAGATTTTGAGCATGATTTTCAAAATGTAAATTTATCCAAAGGATTTTCTAAGGCTCAAAACTCAAAACTAATTCATCAACTTAAAACTGGAACCCGTTTCTCTCTGTTTAAAGCAATGGCTTTCTTAAAAACCATCGGGGTGTGTACGTGTGTGTGCATGTGTGTGTGTGTGTGCATGCTTATGTGTACATGTAAGTGTGTGCACATGTGGAAGCCAGAAATATCTAAACTGGTTGTAGTTTGCTAGGATTTCTTTGCTCTGTTTTGTAATTCTCTTATTAGACCTTATACCCATAAATAAATAAATAGTCTTAGTTTTCTATTGCTACAATGAAACACCAAGATAAAAAGCAAGCTGGGGAATAAAGGATTTATCCCACATGCTGTCCATTATTGGAAGAGGTCAGGACAGGGACTCACATGGGCAGGCTCCTGGAGGTTTATCCCACACTGATGTTCATCACTGGAGGTCAGGACAGGGACTCACACAGGGTAGGTTCTTGGAGGCAGGAGCTGATGCAGAGGCCATGGAGGGATGCTGCTTACTGACTTCCTTCCCCTGGCTTGTTCAGCCTGCTTTCTTATAGAACTCAAGACCACCAGCCCAGAGATGGCACCATCCATATGGGCTGGGCCCTCCCCATTGATCACTAATTGAGAATGTGTCTTACAGTTGGGTATCAAGCAGGCATTTCCTCAACTGAGGCACCTTCCTCTCTGACTCTAGCTTGTGTCAAGTTAACACACTAAACTAGCCAGTAAATTAAAGAAAGAAAGAAAGAAAGTAAATTAAATAAATAAATCTGGGGGTTGGGGTTGTGGCTCAGTTGGTATAGTGTTTGCTTGGTTGTTCTAGGCCCTGTGCTCCTTGGCCAACACAGGATTAATAGGCTTGGTGGCACATATCTGCAGTTCTAGCAGATGGGATATGGAGGCAAGAGGATCAGAAGTTCAAGATCATTCCCATTTATTTCACAGTTTTCAAGAGTAGTCTGGGCTACATAAGACCCTGTCTCACAAAAGCAGAGAAGGGGTGAAAAGATGGCTCAATGGTTAAGAACACATACTGCATCTGCAGAGGATCCAAGTTCAGTTCCTAGCATCCACATTCATTAATGTGTGTATGCCCATGCATACGCTTCATTAAAAGTAATGAAAATAGATTTTTTTTTAAGGTGAGGTTGGATCTCTTGACGTTTTGTTACAGACCGTTTTTCAATTAAGAAGTTTGTTGTTTAACAGGCACCACAGGGGCTAAACTTAATGCTGACCTTCAGAGAAAGAAAAGAGAAAAAGCTTCCACCACCCTGCAACCTGTCAAAGAAAAGGAGCAAGTGGATCCAGGACAAAGGATGCCTACCAAGTTCAGAGAGCAAAGGAACTCCCTCCTCCCGAGACTTTGCACATTAGAATCTAAGGCTCCAGCCCACTCTTCCCTCTACCCTTCTCAGTTGCTTACAGTTGGCAGGTGAAAAGCATTTTTGGCATCTGTCTCCCTTTCTGCCTGCCCCTCCCAGCACAAAGTAAAATCACTAATTGGGTCAGACCAACTAGGAAAAGTCACATTCCAGCAATGGGGGACAGTTAACAACTGCCACAAAAGACATGCATGGTGATGCACACCTTTAATCCCAACAACTGAGGAAGAAGCAGGTGTATGTCTGGCCAGCTTGGGCTACACAGCAAGTTCCAGAGTTAGACAACTGGTATAAGATGGGTTATCAGCGTTGACAGTGTGAGTAATGGTGCGTGGGAGGCTGAAGCAGGAGGATTGTTAGCTTGAGGTCAGCAAAGCCTAGTCTCAAAGCTAACAGAATGGAGGCACTTGTGCCAGCATTTCCAAAGTAACCAACACTAAGAGGCTCTACATAGTTCTAATGCTTGGTTACCTGATATTAACTGAATTGTGGAGACCAAAGATCAAAGACATGTAGATCCCCACACTTTCACCACCGGACCCTGACTGCACGGTGCTGAGTCTAGGGGCCTGTGGTATCTTTTTTATCCTGTTTACCGTGTGCGTAGAGGACAGAGGACAACTCTGAATCGAGGTGATTCCCTCCTACCTTTTCTGGGGTTCCCAGGTTTGTTCAGAAGCACCTCCAGCTGCTGAGTCACATTGCTGTAATCTGACACAAGCACCTGAAGCTGCATTCAGAACTGCTTGCTGAGCCTTATCCCTGATGGCCAGAATCATCAAAGTGCAAGTACTTAAGGCAGTGAGCAGCCTGCTGTCCCACAGACACAGGCATATGGAGTAGACCAGATGATTTCCCCTTAACTGTTTCCAAGGAACTCTAGCCCTCTTGGGACACAATTGTCTCTCTCTTTGAGATTTAGCTTGATGACACTGTCTCAACAGTGCATTTTCTCTTTATTGTGTATATAGAGGGAATGTTTGTGTAAGTGGACACATGTGTAGATGCACATGTACGCACATGCATGTGGGACCAGGAGTCAATCTCTAGTGCCTGGCCTGTTTTCTGAGTCAGGATCTCTCACTGACCTGGATCCCTAGGCTTGCCTCTCTAGGACCGGGATTACAGGATGTGCCACCATGCCTGACTAGTTATGTGGGTTCTGGAGATCCAAGTCAGGTCTTTGTGCCTTTGCAGCAGGCACCTGGCTGAGTGTGCGTCTTTGTAGGCCCAGCACATCTTATTTTCTCTTTGTACTAGTCTGTAATGTTCTGAAATTCTTTTAGCATCCCTCCCTAGGCTTGTTGCAGCAGAGTCCACCTGTCCTGCTTGTGTTCTCCTGTGACACTCTTTTCAGGCACAGATGCAGGAATTTTCACAAGTCCGTGCATCACTGTAGAACCCTCAAGACTGAGGTAAAATCAAAGAGTGCTTCAAGGCGGCTCTAGGGAGGAGGGAGGTCTCTGGAGAAGCAGCGGTGCTTCCCCCTCTGGCTAGCAGGCCCCTGACGGATTTGGGGAACCATGGATACATACATAGTTTTATGTATTTATATAAAGTCTGGGAACTACAAATGAGAGAAAAACATGATACTTTTCTGAGAGCAGCTCAATTCACTTAATGTGATTATTTCCAGTTGCACTCATTTTCCTGCCAACATAAAAAAGTTCATTCTTTTTTATGGATGGAAAAAAATTGTTACTCAAGGGGACCAGGTTCACACTCCATCATGACAGGGAAGTCAAGCTGGCAGGGACCTGAAGCAGGATCGCATACATCCACAATGAGGACAGAGAGATGGATGAATACTGATGCCCAGCTCTATAGGTAGGTAGGGAAACTAAATTGAATGCAGGGAGAAAGAAGGAGGAGTCAGAGAGATGCCATGTTGCTGTAGGAAATTCTTCAGCCAGTAGTCTTTAAGTTACCTGCCCACTTAGGCGTGGTCTTTTATACTAAAAATGCTGATGTAAAGTACGCGCATGCTCTCTCTTCTGGCTGCTGGATTAGTTTGCTACTCCTCATTTGAGCAGAGGACTGTGATCTGTGAGTCTACCCCTAAATAAATAACCCTTTATTATACTCAATTCTGAGCTAGTGTGGGATTTCTTTTCAGTGTCTGTCTTCACCATGCAGCTACTGAAGAAAAAAGACGCCAGAACCTTACTGGTAAGTCACAACCTCATGGTGATACACAGATGAATAGAAATGGATTAATTTAAGATGTAAGAGCTAGTTAGAAATACACCTGAGCCATCAGCCAAACAGTGTTGTAATTAATATAGTTTTGTGTGATTATTTGGGTCTGGGTGGCTGGAAAAGTGAAAGCATGGTCTTTGTTCCAGGACAGGCTCCAAAGCTACAGAGAAACCCTGTCTCAAAAAACCAAAAAAAAAAAAATGCTCCCAGCTGACTCCAGGTCTCCAGCCATGGCACAAGCCTCCACCTACTGTTGACCATGGCTCCTGAGCCTTCACTTAGGAGGCAAGGGAAGAGAATGTCTTGTTGAGGTGCTCATCTAATTTTGTTTGGGGAATTTTGTTTTGCTTTTTTTTTTTTTTTTTTTGGATTTCGAGACAGGGTTTCTCTGTAGCTTTGGAGCCTGTCCTGGCACTAGCTCTTATAGACCATGCAGGCCTTGAACTCACAGAGATCCACCTGTCTCTGTCTCCCCAGTGCTGGGATTAAAAGCATGCACCTGGCCCTCTGGTCACCTTTTAGGGACCATCTTAAGCCTGTTTGAAACTGGACGCCTATTTACCATCTTAGCCTATATGAAATCGGACATGATATAATTAACATCAGACATGTTACAGGAAGAGAGAGGAGCAGCAGGAAAGTACATGTGTGATCTAATCTATCCATGAAAATTGTAATCAGCCCTTCCTCCCACTGAACTCCAGGAAAGAAGCCCCACCATTGGCGTGCTATCATTCATGTGGCCCCTGTCTGAATGGTGGGGCCTCCCTAGCCTGCACAATTGTTTCAGTTGAACAAAGCTGTCTTGCAAATCTATGTGAGCTAAACTTTCAACTCTTGGGATCCAGAAACTCCAAAGGACCATGGCTAACAGTAGGCTAGCTCTGGACAAACAAGGTGATGACCCAAGTCCTGCTCTGGTCCCTAAAAACAAACATAACAGACAAAAAGCTTTAAAGAACACACAGGATTGAAAGTAAGGCATTTGAGATGAGAATGTGGCTCCTGGTGCAGAGCCACCTGCCCCCATCCCAAGTCCCTGGGCTTGGCCCCCTGTGTCAGGTAAAATTGCTGTTCTGCTTCTAACCCCACTCACCCAGTGTTCCCTTGTTTTTTAGAGGCCTCTCCAAAAGGTCACAGAGCAGCTCACATCATGGAAGCCAGCTGATGTCGGAGGAACAGTCGTGGGCAATGCCCCAGACAGAAGTCACAATCTCTTACAACTTTAATCTCACAGTACTGACCTCCTACACTAATCCACCATGTGCGACAACACAGTACCAGATAGAAGGCACTTTGTAAAGAAAAGGGACTTACAAGCTCTGACTTAGCTGAAGTCATGGCTATGCCATGAAGTCTGGCACATGCCAACACTTGGCTACATAGGGAGATCTGGGACAGCCTGATCAACCCGAGACCTTGTCTCCAGACAATAAAACAAACTCAGTCTCGGGTCTAAAGGTTCAGAATCTGATGTCCCCCAAGCCCAACTTAGGCCCTCCTTCTTTAATTTCCCACACATTAATGTCACCCACTAGAGACCAAGCCTTCCGTCCATGAACCTTTGGAGGACACATTCAAATCTCTGCATCTAGCAACTCTGAGAGGAGCATCCTGCAAGAAAGAAGGTGCTGTAGCATCAGAAGGTGTCTGTCTGTGGATGAGTGTGATCCCATAGAGAAGTGATAATGCAGATAGGAAAGAAGGGCAGAGGGAAGCCAGGCACTCACCAGCTCCTTATTGTGCCGTTTCATAGCTTGACAGCATGCACCCACTTTTTGAACCCTTATTCTCTGTCATAGCTAGACTCGTTATTTTGCCCTGATTCCAAAACCATATCCAATTCAATTGTACACAGACCTCACACAGAAATGCCTGTCCGGCTGTTTCTCTTCAACCTTTCTGATAATGCTGAGTAAGGAAGGACTGATTGCCCCTTGCCACTGTCAATGCCAGGAGTCACTTGGATTGGCTTATACAAGTGCCTACCTTCCCACTCACTGACTCAAGCTTAGCACCTAACCTAAATAATTGGCTCCCTTTATCTGCTGTGCCACCCGTCTCTGCCTGGATAAGATGCAGGCAGTGCAGCTGTCCTTGTGTCCTAGTATTGGCCCCTCCCATAACTCTCTGTCAAAAGGCCAAGCCCTCAGACTATCACCCCCCACAGCACTCTTTTATTTCTGACCCTATTGGGTGAACATGGCAGGACTCAGCATAGTTCAAAATAGGAATGACAGAATCCTGTAAAACTGAATGTCAGACATCAATCTTTAAAACGCTAGACACTATTCAGTGATGTTTACTAAGGCAGGGCAAGGCTGTCTTCACTCAAGAATGTTTCTTAAACTATTTTTTTTCATTTTTATTGAGCTTTGTATTTTTCTCCGCTCCCCTCCCTTCCTCCTCTCTCCCCTTCTACGTTCTCATGTGACTTCCATGCTCCCATTTTGCTCAGGAGATCTTGTCTTTTTCTCCTTCCTATGTAGATCTATGTATGTCCCTCTTAGGGTCTTCTTTGTTGTCTAGGTTCTCTGGGGTTGTGAACTGTAAGCTGGTTTGTCTTTGGTTTATGTCTAAAAACCATTTATGAGTGAGTATATATTTGTTTTTCTGGGTCTGGGTTACTTCACTCATTTTTTTCCTAGAGCCATCCATTTGCCTGAAAATTAAACAATTTTTTTAAAAAAATTAACTCTGTTTTATGTGCATTAGTGTGGAGGTATTAGATACCTGGAACTGGAGTTACAGACAACCATGAGCTGCCATGTGTGTGCTGGGAATTGAATTTAGGTCCTCTAGAAGAGAAGTCAGTGTTCTTAACCACTGAACTATCTCCTCAGCTCCCACTCAAGACTGTTAAGGTAGTTGCATAAGAGACTGGAGATGTAGCTCAGCAGTTAAGAGCACTGGCAGCACTTCCAGAGGACCTGGGTTTGATTCCCAGCACCTACATGGTAGCTCACAACTGTCTATTCCCAGTTCCATGGGATCTGACACCCTCTTCTGGCCTTCACGGGCCATAGGCATGAAAGCAGTACATAGATACACATGCAGGCAAAATATCTGTGCACATGAAATAAAATAAAAATTTAAAAACTAAGCTAGGTGCATGAGTCCTGAGGCTGTGACTCAGTTGGCATAGCACTGGCTTCCCTTGTATGTACAAAGCCCTGGGTTGCATCACCAGCACAGACAGACAGAGTAACTCATGCCTATAATTGGTTGAGGAACTCAAAGTCAATCTGGTGGACACATGAGACTCTGTTTTAACAAAAAAAAATATAAAAAAAGAGGAAGAGAAAGAAAGAGAGAAGGAAGGAAAAGAAAAGAAAACCCATTTATGTTGTATAAGGTAGTACTAACTTGTTCAGTGGGTTAGCCAGGGCTATTTAAAGGCCTTCCTTAAGGTGACTGGAATGTCAAGGAATGTGTCCATGGCCTCTCAGAGAGACAAGGAATCTGGTTGACTTGGGGGGAGGGAGCCCTTAAATGTGATTCTATCTCTTCAGCCTTTTCATCAGCAATACAGCAGGAGACAACAACCCAGTATGAGTGGGCCAGCTGAGGTCCCTATCCTTCAGGAGACAACAACTCAGTATGAGTGGGCCAGCTGAGGTTCCTATCCTTCAGAGGATACAGCCCATCATGGAGATGGCCAGCTGAGGTCCCTATCCTTAAGGGGACACAGTCCAATATGGAGCTGGCCATCTGATGTCTCTATCCTTTAGGGGACACAGCCCAGCATGGAGATGGCCAGCTGAGGTCCCTATTCTTCAGGGGCCTCTACTAGCAAAAAGCTGCGTCCTTGAGTTTTCCCCAGGCAAGAACTTTGGAATCAGCCAGTATCAAGTAGGACTGGAATTTATTAAAAAGAGATTTCTTCTGGGTACAGTGGTGTAGTTGGAAAGCAGGTGCATCAAGGCCATTCAGATCTACATGCCAAGTTCAAGGCCAACCTTAAGACATAGTGAAACTGTGTCTCAATAAAATAAAGTAAAAATAGATTTTTAACATAAATTTAAGCATGAGAGAGATGGTTCGGTGATTAAGAACACTTCTCTTAATCCAGGGAGTCTGGCACCTTCTTATGGCTTCTATGGTCACTACATAGAAGTGCACACAGAGACAAGCACTCACACCACATCCATATCTATAAAAATAAATTGCCAGGTATGGTGGCCCACGCCATTAATCCAAGCATTTGGGAGTCAGTGGCAGATGGATCTCTATGAGTTCAAGGCCAACCTGGTCTACAGAATGAATTCCAGGATAGTTAGGATTACATAGAGAAACCGTCTTGAAAAAAAGAAAAAAACAAAATTAAACCAGAGGAGGTAGAAAGAGACACTTGGGAAAGAGGGTATGGGCTTTCAAAGGAAAGCCATGTGAGCGCCATAGTAGTGGTTAATTCCACAAACAATTTTGGTGGCTCTCATTACAAATCAAAGGGTTGCCAAGAAACTCTTCCTCCCTTTAATGTTAAGTGAAATTATAGGGTGGCTCCAAAGGTACCTTGGTTAGGATGTACTCTGATAAAACTGTGGCTGGATGTAGCAGGCTTTCTTGAACTCCCAGCCCCTAAATCATGACACAGAACTTCATATTAGTTATGAATGCTTGGCCTTATCTTATGCTTGTCTCACTAGTTCTTATAACTTAAATTAACTTATTTCTCTTCATGTTTTGCTTTGGGGCTTTTTATCTTTCTTTCATTCAGTGTGACCTACTTTTCTTGCATCTTCCCAGTCTGGCTGGTGGCTTGGCTGGTTGACTTCAAGTGTCTCCCGCTCTTTTTCCCTCATTCTCTTCTCTCTTTCTCTCTCTCTTCTTGTTGCAAGGAGCGGGCCCCTTGTTTGTTCCAGCTGCCCGGTTAGCTTACACCTGAAATAACCACACAGAAACTGTATTAATTAAAACATTGCTTGGCCATTAGCTCTGACTTCTTATTGGCTAACTCTCACATCTTGATTTAATCCATTTCTATTAATCTGTATATCACCACGAGTTCGTGACCTAGTAGAAAAGATTTGGCATGTCTGTCTCTGGCAGCTCCATGGTGGCTCTCTCCTGACTCTGTTTTCTTCCTCCCAGAATTCAGTTCTGTCTTCACTGCCTACCTAAGTTTTGCCCTATCAGACCAAGCAGTTTCTTTATTCATTAACTGATGAAAGTAAGACACAAACAGAAGTACCTCCTACACTATCCTCTTATTTATTCTCTCTGCCTGCCAGCCCCACTCATCCATCTACTGCCTGAGTTTAGTCGCCAGGACCCATATGGTGGAGGGTGCACAGTAACAAACAGGATGTTTAGATGGCTGGCCAGGAACTGTCCTCAAAATGAACCCCGGGAGCAGGGGTAGACCCATGGGCCCTACAGAGAAGGGTTTATAAGGAGGGGCCAGGAAAAGAATGAGAATTTTTTGGGAGATGCAAGGAGGTGAGCTGCTTGTTCTTCAGCCTCTCTGTGAAGCAGGATTCTACCTCAACCTTTGAATTGTGAGTTCTTTAGCAAGACAGAGCTTTAGATAAATTCTCTTAGTAGCTTTGAAAGAGTTGATGCCTGTGGGAACAGAATTTATTTCCTCAGGCTGTGACTCTGGTGGTCTAGCCACTGCTGGTAGCCTTGGAGTTGCAGTTGCTGATTAGGACAGCTGTAGCTTAAAAGGCAGCAACTGTAAAAAAGGAGGATAGCACTCCAGTTTATTAATGAACTGTTCTTTGGTCAGACAGAACTGTGGATAAGGGGTTTGGGTCATGTATTGGATCAGGACCCGTAGATGACAAAGTGAATAAATCACTTTTCCTTGTACAAGCACATAGATAGATACTTCTAGCAGAAGGGAGAGAGTCACTGTTTTCTGACACTGGGGTCTGAATCTAAGGCCTTACCCATGCCAGGTGAGTTTTCCAGTTCTGAGCCACAATCTCCAGCCATGTGTGGTAGGATGGTTTTGGTGTCTATCACAGGGCAGAACCACAGTTTTTCCTGTGATGCCAGCTTTCACCCTGACAGAAATGACCATTGTAGGCAGAGTTTTCTTGTGCTGCAGATGTTTCTCAAATAACCAACACAGTGACTCAATATTAATTACAAATGCTCAGTCAATACCTCATATTTGTTACTAGCTAATTCTTAAATCAACCCATATTTTTTATCTATGCTTTATCAAGTGGCTTGGT